AGGGAGTTTTACCCAAGTATTAAGCATAGTACATATTATATATAGTATATATTATATGTAGATATACAGATTTGATAGTGCATGTCTGTAATTCCAACACTCTGCAGGTAGCGACAGGAGGATGGGGCATTTAAGATCAACCTAGGCAGGGCGGACATGGTGGCATACACCACTAATCCCAGCATTGGGGAGGCAGAGGCAGTTGGATCTCTGAATTCAAGGCTAGCCTGGTCTACAAAATGAATTTCAGGACAGCCATAGCTACACAGAGAAACCATGTCTCTAAAAAGCTAAAGGAAGAAAGGAGGGAGGGAGGGAGGAAAAGAAGGGAAGGAAGGATGGATGGAAGACAGGCAGATGACAGAACAAACCATAGTAATTGAAATAGTACGACGTGTGGAGAGATGGCTCAGCAGTTAAGAGCACTGACTGGGGGGGCTGGTGAGATGGCTCAGTGGGTAAGAGCACTGATTGCTCTTCCAGAGGTCATGAGTTCAAATCCCAGCAACCACATGGTGGCTCACAACCATCTGTAATGATATCTAATACCCTCTTGTGGGGTGTCTGAAGACAGCTACAGTGTACTTATTACATATAATAAATAAATAAAAATTATAAAAAAAAAAAAAAAAAAAAAAAAAAGAGCACTGACTGCTCTTCCAGAGGTCCTGAGTTCAATTCCCAGCAACCTCATGGTGGCTCACAACCATCTGTAATGGGGTCTGATGCCCTCTTCTGGTGAGTTTGAAGAGAGCAATGGTGAGTAGATTAAAAAAAGAAAGAGGCCGGGCGTTGGTGGCGCACGCCTTTAATCCCAGCACTTGGGAGGCAGAGGCAGGCGGATTTCTGAGTTCGAGGCCAGCCTGGTCTACAGAGTGAGTTCCAGGACAGCCAGGGCTATACAGAGAAACCCTGTCTCGAAAAACCAAAAAAAAAAAAAAAAAAAAAAAAAAAAAAAAAAAAAAAAAAAAAAAAGAAAGAGTAGGTGAGTGACAGAGCACTTTCCTACACAAGGCTCTGGGTTTGATCTTCAGCATAACAAATAATACAAATAACAACAAAAGAACAAAGTACTTGTGTAAAAAAGGACAAATATATCAGGTCTTGTCTATAAGAGAAGACAGGACAAAGGATGGCCTAATCAATAAAGCCTGTAACTCCAGTTTCAAGGGATCCCCCTGTCCTGGTCTCAATCGAATACATATTTGAGTGCTCACACATACACAACATATGCAAATAAAAACAACCAAGCCGGCAGTAGTGGCACACACCTTTAATCCCAGAACTCAGAAGGCAGAGGCAGGTGGATCTCTGAATTCAAGGCCAGCCTGATCTACAAAGTGAATCACAGGACAGCCATGGCTACCCAGAGAAACCCTGGTGCTGTGTGTAAAGGGGTACTGTACTGCCTCCTGGCAGAAATTCTATTTTGAAGTATCTATCCTAGAGATATTTTCCCAGATAAGCAGGAAAATGTATAAAAGAAGGATCTTCAGTGATTACTGCAGTAAAAACAAATGGTGAGCAACTTAAACTACAGTGGACTGGGAATATGATACAACAGTTTAAAAGAGCAGGGGGAATTTCAGGGGGTCCCGGTGTTTGGGGGGGGGGGGGAACTGCAGTGAGTGCCAGTGCTGACAGGGAGAGTGGGGGTGGGGGGACTATAGTGAGTCCTGGTGCTGACAGTGAGAGCAGACAGACTGCCAGGGGGAAGGGACAGTGGGTTCCCAGCTGAGGAAGCATAATCTACTGTCGCAGGCAGCATGCCTCACACCAATACATATCCCAGGGTTCCACTTCCTTGGAATACAAATACTGGTAGTATTTGCTGACAGATGTCATTGGGTAGCTGTGGGGAAGGAGACTGGACAAAACATGCAAGGGAAGTTTCTAGAAGAATGGAAATGTCTAGTGTGTCTGCTACTTTGGATGCTGGTGGCTTTCAGGGCTGGAAGTGAGGTTCAGTGGAGGATTGCTCACACATGACCCGGTTTCTATCCCCAGAGCCCAGCCCATGAAAGACACAACTACAAAAGCTGTACGTTTTACCCAATTTTACACATTTACATAGATACACACATTAAAGTGTTTCCTTGTGTGTATGGTGTGTATGCATGTTCCTATGTGTGTGGCTGGTATCTATGTGTGTATGTGCACACGCATGTGGGGGCTGGACATTGATGCAGGGTCTTTCAGCTGGACCCAGACCTCACCAGTACGGCTCGGTTAGCTAGCCTGTAGGTCCAGACAGCTCATCCTGCCCTCCCAGCACCGGGATTACGGGCTGCCTGCCAGGCTCACCCAGCATTTCCTTAGGTTCTGGGAATCTGAGGTCCAAGTCCTCATACTTCTCTACCTCCCCCTCCCCCAACACACGCACACGCACACGCACACACATGCACACGCACACACACTCTCCAGGAACTCTCCCTGACAATAAAAATCTTGCCACACCGTTTCTCTTCCTGAAACTCCTAATATGACTACTGGTGACTGTGATAAAGTCCATGTTCCTCACATTACCACAGGGCCCCCATGTATCTGACCTCTTCTTCTCCAAACCACCTTCCTACACCAGGTGGCACAGTGACTTACACCTGTAATCGCAGTGTTTGGGAGTCAGAGGCAGAAGGACCACCCTGAGTGTAAGGTCAGGATGAACTAAAGATCAAGACTCTGTCTTTAAAGTAGCAAAAATTGACCTGGGCAGTGGTGGCACAGGGCTTTGATGCCAGCAGAGGCGGGCAGATCTCTGAGTTCAAGGCCAGCCTGATCTACAGAGTTCCAGGCCAGCTGGTGCTATTACAGAGAAACTCTGTCTCGAGGGAAAAAAAAAAAATACACCAGTCTCCTTGAAATACTATACACCAAATCTCAAGGTATGATTCAAGGAACACTTTGGGTCTCTAACTCCTTTTTGAGGGACTGGAAACCCCAGCTATGTTTAAAATAAGGCTAAGAAGATGACTCAGCAGGTAAAGGTACCTGCTGCCAAGCATGACAACCTAAGTCTGATTCCAGGAGCACCATGCTCAACTCCCAGGAGCTGTCCTCTGAATTCCATGTGTATGTGATGCTCAACACACACACGCACACACACAAACAAAATGAATGGAAAAGACTTTAAATAGCCGGGCAGTGGTGACACACGCCCTTAATCCCAGCACTTGGGAGGCAGAGGCAGGTGGATTACGCCCTTAATCCCAGCACTTGGGAGGCAGAGGCAGGCGGATTTCTGAGTTTAAGGCCAGCCTGGTCTACAGAGTGAGTTCCAGGACAGCCAGGGCTACACAGAGAAACCCTGTCTCGAAAAACCAAAAAGAAAAGAAAAGAAAATGTGGCAACAGCCAGATTACCTATATAACTCAGTCACACAGTTCCTCAATGACCAGTTCATGATGCTGCAATGCTCATGCACAATGTTCTACAACCCCAGCACACACCTGTGATCTAACACTTGGGAGGGCTCAAACAAGAGGTTCAGGAGTCTGAGGCCAACCTGAACTACATAAGGAGACTCAGTCTCAAAACAAACAATTATGCTTCAGAAAAAGATCAGCTCAAAGTACAAAAGGGCCACTGAGGTTGTATGTAGGTGGTAGAGCAGTCACCTGGTGTGTGTAAGTTCTGGGGCCTGATCCTTAGCACAAGGAAGAAAAGTCCAAGAGAGACCGATGGGTTTGAATGTAACTGGTGAAAAGGCTCGTGTTACCTGTTACAGTTTAGCACAGTCATAAAGAATAAACCCAGGGATGGTGGCACACACCTTTAATCCCAGCACTTGGAAGCAAAGGCAGATAAATCTGTTTGAGACCAGCCTGATCTACATAGTGAGTTTCAGGACATCCAGAACAACACAGAAATAGATTTGAGACAGGGTTTCTCTATGGCATTGCAACATCATGAAAAAACAAACAAACAACCAGAACCCTGTCCACACTGGGCAAGCACGCACACTTTAAGTATCTGTTTCAGTCCCTATGATACCGAGTGTGTACACTACACATAACAGAAGTGCTGGGCAGCATTCCACTCTGTCGCACCAATGCCAAATTATCTTCAGCTCTCTTGTGGTGCCGGGGATCTAACCTAGGGCCTTGTCCATGCTAAGCAAACACTTTACCAATCAACTACATCTGCAGCCCTTACTTTCAGTAGTGAATATCTTGTGATTTCTCCCGCCCCGCCTGTGTATAATTTCCTCTCTGCTTTTCATTCTCATTCATCTGTGTGGCTAACTCCTACTCGACACAGAGACCTTGGTTTAAACATCACTTCCTCTGGAAAGCCTTCTGTGATTGTTCAGACAGGACTAGGCATCACGTCCATGTCTTCTCATCATTTCTATACTCTGTCCTAGCCATACCAGAAACCCATCTGATCAATTATTAGTGATAATCTGCATAGCCTTCAATGCCCCTAGTGTACTAGGTTCAAATCCCTAGGACTCACCATTGTGCGCCATACATTAGCATTTGTAGATACCTGGGTAGGGATTATAGCTCAAAGGCAGAACACTCACCTAGCATGTGCAGGTCCTACGTTTGATTATCAGCACCCACCCACTCCCAAATCAATTGTGGGAGGCCAGAGCAGAAAAATCAGGAATTCAAGTCCATCTTGGGCTACATAAGACATTGTCTCAAAAACAGAAACAAGGAGCTGGCAAAGAGGCTCAGTAGGTAAAGGTGCTTGGCATGCAGGCCTGCTGACTTGAGTTCAAATCCCCAGAAAGATGGGAAGATCAGAACCAACTCCACAAGATTACCTCCACATGCATCCTGTGACATACATGTCCTCCCCACCATAATTACATGTAATTTTTTTAAAGATTTAATTGTAAGTGTATATGGAGAAAGTAAATGAATGTAATATTCATTCATTCATTAAAACAAATGAGGTGTTATTTTTTTTTTTGTAAGAAAATACGCCTAAACTGACAGCAGTCAGTTCTCCAGGTGTTTCAGCTCCAAAAGCCAGGACGCAAGAATGTTTACCTGGGAACTAATGGCGTACTTCAGGTAAGACAGGATAAGAGGATTGGGGGAAGGTCCAATCATGGCCTGCTCCAGGAGCGCTTCTGCAAAAGAAATTAAAGTAAGGCTAAGTGGTTTCAGCTTTTCTGGGATTACCTCTCCCATCCTTCCTTCCACATTTTACTTGAGACCTGCTAGGTTGAGAATGTCCCAGGTGGCTCCTTTGGGAAAGAATTTTTTCATGTTGATTGCCCATTGGTAGTCACTCCATCGCTCTTTCCAGGCTTGCAAAATGGCCTGCTTCAGGTTCACTACCTTCATGATGTCACTTCAAGGAGGTGAGACGAGTGACAGGGTGGGAGTTTAAAAACGGGGCCAGAGGAGAACCGGAGTTCTGAGGGAAAGAACAAGGGAGAGGTGAATAGAATGGAAATTCGGAAAGACTTAAGCAAAACAGAAAAACTAGACAGAGTAGGAGTCAAGGCAACGGCTGTCACCCTCTCAGTTTCTGAACCACCTTTTTTGAATTGGGACAGAAAGTGTCTCCAAAGCCCTCAAGAGAGCAGGAAAGGGTTAAGCACGCACCGGTTGCCTAATTATGCCCTTCGCTCTAGCTGCGTTCCTCACCACTACCACCCCAAAACCAGCTCTACCCTCTCCCCATTTCCTCTACCTCCCCCAGCCCTGAAGCTGTAATTCCTTCTTTTCTTTCATCCACCATCTCCCCAAATTTAAGCCTACCAGACAAACAAGTTCTACATCGTAGGCCGCGCCATCTTGACACCTATTAAGAAAATCATTTACTATTGGCCGGCGGCAACACACGCCAACCAATAGAAACATAGCAACAGGCCGGTCCTGCCACAATACCTTCTGGGAATTGTAGTTCTTTGTCTAAGACTTGTCTAAACCGCCAAACAAGCAGAAGGATTAATCTAATTGGTTCTGGTGGTTTTTATCTGAGATTATCTGAAGAGCTGAAGTACTTTGGTACCCGGAGTCTCAGGTTCTAGGGAGAAACCAACTCTCTTGTCTGACGCCACCATCCACTCCTACCTTCAATCGTTCTGATAACTGTGGTTATTCCCCAGGAATGAGGCACAACAGTAGATTATAATCTGGCTTCTGTTTTGGGTTCTAACCCGGTTTCTATTTGGGTTTTGGCTTTTGTTCTCGAAAGCTCCTGTAGCCACTAGAGTTCTCATTTTCACAGTTCTATTCCAAAAGGGACACTGAAGTGTGAGTAGTGACACACATACCACCATTTCATCCCCAAATCAGACAATTCTCTTAAATTCACTGATCCTGAATACTGTTTGACTATAAAGGGAAATAAGGAAGAAACTGAAGCTGGGCACTCTACCACTGAGCTACATTCCCTTCCCCAAGCTGCCTTTTGAATGAGAATCACAATAAATATTGAGAAAGCAGTCCACAGGGGCTCTAAAAGTGGCCTCGGAGACACGTAGGATACTAACAGGATCCTGGGTACCTGGAGCACGCTATCAATAGGAAGAGTATAGTTGGAGTGAGGCCAAATCACATCCTTCTAAGACGGGTACAGCCTATGGTCTTCCTCCATCTCTCTTCACACACACACCCTTTTACTCTGCTCTTTTGTACGTTCCCAGGGGATACTACTGGAGAATAGTATTTATATAAAATAGCTGCCAAGAATGGGGAGCCAAATCTTCCAAAGCAGGAAGGAGAACTCAGACTCTTGATTCATAACCTTCAGGCTCCCCCTCCAAACAGACCTGCACTCCATGCTGGCACACGCACCCGTGGTGAGCCTCCTGCTCCTTTTCTGTTACACAGCCCAATGCCCTACCACCACCACCATGACCACCACCACAATAAATTGTTTCTGGATACCGCTCCTCCTTCCCTACCCCTCAGAGCCCAAACAGCCCCTCGATGAAACAAGCTGTCAATTCTGTGAGTGCTCTTTATTGAATTAGTGAGTGTTGGTCCAGCCCATATGGAAAGGGGTGGAGATATGTAGGCCTGAGGATGGTTAGACTCTGAGCTCCTTCCCTCTGGCTCAAATCCTGGCAGATTTCTGAGAGGGAGGGTGCCCCGCCTCCACACTTCATAATGCTGAGAGGCAGCTTTTGGTATTGAGCCATCTGCCTTCCCTGGTCCCCTACTCCCCACCAGCAGCCCATTCTTCGGGCTTGGCAGTGTTTCCTCAAGGACTCCAAGGACTCGACTGTATGTACAAGGACTCCCTCAGCCTCTGGGCAAAGACCTTCACAGACTTCTCTACCTTGACCTTCCTGCTTCTCTGCTCTACAAATATCAGAGCTAGTCTTTCTCTAACCCACCTCCTCCTGTCTCCTGGGAACTGTTTTTAAGCTCTCTGATTTACTTACCACAGAAGAAAGACTCTATGACAATGCTCCCAAGGATGAGAGGAAAAAATGTCACATTCCCTTTGGGGTGTATGAAACGTGTCTCCAGCTCCTCTCAAGTTCGCCACCTGCCTCTACTTACTCCACTGTCTCTCACTGTCCCTCAGAGGCTGGGCTCCCACTTCCTAGCTCTGTGCCTCAGTATCTTTATTAATTTATCTTATTACTTATGTGTGGTGTGTGTGCATGGATGATCATGTGTTCAAGTGTGAGTGTGCACGTATGTACATATGCACACGTGGAAACCAGAGATTGACTTGTGTCATCCTTAATTGTTCTCAGCTCAATTTTTTGAGACAGAGTCTGCCTCTGAACTTGGGCTCACTCTATTTGGCTAGATAGCTGGCCAATGGGTTCTGGGATACACCTGACTCCACCATTGCCACTCTCCCCCACCCTCACCCCCACCCC